ATATGAAGATTGAGTAGCCTTAATGAAAAACATTTAACGTAGATTGGAATAAGTTCACAATGGGCTGTGATCAAAAGAATAATTCTTACATAATATTTTTTAGGTGGTACATATACTTTTTTGATATACTTTAATGACACTCACTAGACTTATAGTTCAACGAGAGTGAATGTTACTTTAAGTCACAGTATACAGATTCAGTTATATAGTTCGTTTATTTTTCACAGCAGAATCAATTGATAAGTATTAGACTAATAAATCTTCGTTCATTTTTGTAACTTGTCCGGTTTCCTCAGGTTGTTTGTTCCTAAACTCCATGTAGGCGCTGGATGATCATAGGAGCTAATATCTTAGACATTACTATATATATATATATATATATATATATATTATTGAGAGCCCTTTTCTTTTTATTTAAATGATTTCGTCGCGTTATGATGTGGTATGGGAACATAGCTAACGAGCATTTGTGCCAGACTACATTGATTATTATTTTTTGATTGAGATCTTGAACCGATTGATGTTAGACCACCATTGAAAACCTGGAAGCACTGGACGGCCGTTTCTTCCTATTGTGGGACTCCTCAGCAGTGCGCATCCACGATCCCACTCGCAGGACTCGAACCCGGGGCATTCAGTCTCGCGCGCGAACGCTCAACCTCCTGGACCACTGAGCCGGCATCCATTGATTATGACTGGCTGGCTATCGTATTTACCATAAAGGGGTTGGTTCTTTTTAAAAATTATATGCGATGATATTCAGTTCTCAAACTGTAACAAATATCTCAATTGATTTATATGTTAAAGCCACCATCCATAAAGATTTATAAACCTAACTCATCTGGGCCTGATGCTTTCTATTTCGTTTCAAGCTAGTTATGTTTATTTCCACTTCACTGATAACTAGAGCTTCGATTTCAATCTCTCATTGGTACTTTTGGTAGACATTGGTAAAATGGAAAGTGGCTAAGGTCCACTTGATAAACATAAATAGTTTGTATACTGTATAGCTAGATTTTAAGGGATTTTATTAAAAGCCTTTATAGAAGAGTTTAAAATTAGATGTAAAACAGTCTGTTTGAAATGTTTCTTATAAATAACAATTCCAAGATTATATATCCTAATTGGCTATCAAGGTTTTATCTCATATATTTTTGTGTATAGCAAAAATGCCACTTCAGTGGTGTTACCAAATATATTGGGTTAACTAGTGAGGTAATAACAAAAGTTCCGATTAACTGCAGACCCATACATTTAAACAGATCTTGGAACTATTTTTAGTGTCTTTAGGCACTCTGGTGAAATTTCTGTTTAGAACAACGCTTTTTATGAATTCTCATCCGTTAACAATCCAATACCTCAAATTGTAGTAAAATCTATGTCAAAAGCAATTTTTTAGTAGTTCTTTTTCTCAATCGTTATGTCTCTAATTCGAAACTTCATGTCCGAATAATGACGCAATACGCAAGGAGAACCATTAACGAAATGTCCATGTGAATAAACACTGACCTAGATTGAATGAAAAATCAATTTAGCTCATTAAATCGATTGTGAAAATCACAGTCGTCTCTAACTTGACCTGGAATTTCAACCCATAATCTGAGTGAACTTGCTTTTCTAAGTAATCTTAAAATACCATGTTATTAAAAATAGTATGGAAACCCAGTTTAAACAATAGCATTTAGGTTATACTATAAATTGATTAAATTAATTCCAGACGATGAGAAATCTAGTGTCTAGTTGAATGTGAAAATGTTTTTATGAAATGTGAGCTAAAACGAACATTAACCTGCCTGAATGTTATTTTCTCCACTAATTAACATTTAATACCCATTTAGGATAGGGCAACTCATGGTAAATTGGTCAAATATTCACCGCTCTCCAGAGATACTAGGGTATTATTTGGTAATATTTTTGAATAATTTTTTCTGTATTTTTCTCAATGCTTTCTTGATATATATGTGGAATTCATTGTAAATCTTTAACACTATAAATCTTATTATCGGTATTACAAGTTGATGTCATTGACTGAAATCTTAATTTCAGACATTCTCGAATTAGTCTACTTCATTATATGCATATTTGTTTTATCTCTAAGCTTAAAATTTCATACAAGGATGATAGATTATGTTAAAGAAAATAATTCAGAATGTTATGGAGCTATCGATAGATGTTTATAGTTACGTTTTAATTGATTATTACATTTAAATGGCCTTACTAGTTTGATTTACATTCTATTGCTAGATCATTCTTAATAATAATTGACAAAAAATCGTGCTAATTTCATAGTTGTTTAGTCGCTCAAGTCTGGTCAACTATCTATGGGTTAATTTGTAGGGTATTTTTGTGGGTAACTGATTATCTTTATAGAAGATAAACTATGATATCCATGGATTCTGTCATCATATAACTTTTATGCTTACTCAGAAATCTAGATGTTTTTACATTGGGAATGTAACGAATTCGTTATATCCACCCAATTGTCTAATGGTATGGTTATTGGAACATCAGTAAAAAAATTTTTCCCTATCTTATCTGTCTATCGTAGAAAAAATAATGGTCTTGGTTTTTCCATACATTGCTTAGGAATCAACGTGTGTGTTGATCAACTTCTACTATAGGAACAGTAGTTTTGTGTTCAGGATGTTCGTTGTTCAACACCCAAAATAATAATTAATGTATGCTAAATAATGGTTAAGTACTGTTCACTGAACTATTATTTTATCATAATCTTTCTTTAAATTGTATGGAGCTCTCATCTATTCTCTCCTTGTGATATTAGAAAGTGTAGTAACTTGACTAATTCGCTTTTTTTATCAAGTTAAACGTATTATCTGTCTAGTTTTTACAATGATTTATTTGTTCACTTCAATTACATTTCTAAGTTTGATTAAACCACTGAACCTCCCCATATTTCATCATCAGACAAGATGTTTATGAGAAATAGACAAGCGAGTTGGTAGTTTTGGACTTTATATATATATATATATATATATATATATATATATATATATATATATATATATATATAGAGAGAGAGAGAGAGAGAGAGAGAGAGAGAGAGGAAGTATGTGCTTTTCTGTTGATGATCACTCGATGGAAACTGGTTTAACTCGGTCGATGCTTTTTCGACGGTAACTGTTTTGTCTGTCCTCGTAATCACTTTAAACGGACAGTCATAATTCGGCTGCAAATGTGGTTGTGCATTATCTCTTCTAGTGAATACATGAGTGTTATTATACAGTCCCTGCGGTAGGGGCACTCCTCGCTGTTGTAGTCTGAGAAGTGTTATTTTTAAATCATTCATATGTTTCTTTAGGCGCTGTATGTAGTTGGCTACATCAGTCGGAACACTTGCATGAAGCGAAAAATTCTCCGGGTAAACGTAGAGTAGTTCCATATACCAACTCAGCTGTTCTCAAATCCAACATGACTAGAGGAAGCTTATTGACCCAATCGTTGTTGACAGTGACAGTTGTAAGAGACGCTTTTAATTGCCCATGCAGGCGTTCAACCATACCGTTTGCCATCGGATGGTAGGATGTCGTGCGAATACGTTTAACTCCGAGGAGTTCTGTAACCTGGAAGAGACGACTTCTGATTTGGGCTCCTCTATCAATTGTGATAATCGCTTGCACTCAATAACAAGATGTCCAATTATCAATTAGGGCTTTGGCTACAGACTCGGCTGAGGTGTCCTTTATCGGTACCTCTACAGGCCATCGCGTGAATCTATCGATGCTTGTAGCTGTAGCCATTCGAAATCGGCAGTGCTCCCACGATATTGGTGTGTATATGTTCGAATCTAGTGTCTGGGTGAGAGGAAGAACCCACTACAGAACTAGTATGCGATCCACTTTGACTTTTTGACACTTCATGCATGCCTGTGTCCAATTACGCACGTCTCGATTAATGTTTGACCATACGATGCGTTCGCTAATTAGCTTCACTGTGGCTTTTATTTCCGAATGTGATATACTGTGAATACTTTCGAATTCGTCAGATCACAGAGCACAGACATGCTTATCGACGTCCGACAATGATAGTTTTTTTACTTAAAATCAGCGTCAGTAGACCGAGAAGTTCTGTGGCAGTGTCTGTCACTGAAACGTGTACCTCAGAAGTACATAAACCTTGTGAAGGTTCTTTACTTGGACATTACCAGTCGAGTCAGAGTTTGTGGCGAACTGTCATCTGATTTCGCAACCTCAAGTGGTGTCCAGCAAAACTATCCGCTATCCATTTTTGTTCAACTTAATCATAGACATACTGATGGAAACAATGTTCTCGTTTACTAAATTTTCGGGGATTGATCTCCTATCAGGAGGTCCACTTATCGATTTAGAATACGCAGATGATATAGTCCTGTTTGTTGAAGACGCTAATAAAATGCAAAGTCTTTTGGTAGCACTAAGCAACAATGGCAGGATGCTTGGAATGCGTTTTGCCCCCTCTAAATGCAAATTGTTGCTTTAGGATTGGTGTGCATCAACAGCTCAACTAAGAATAGGGAGTGAATTAATCGAACGCGCTGACAACTTCACATATCTTGGAAGTCTGGTCAGCCCTAATGGGTTGGTGTCTGACTAAATCTCTGTGCAGATTCAGAAGGCTTGTTTGGCTTTTGCCAGCTTACATCACCTATGCTGAAGGCGGGATATCCGTCTATCAATTAAGGGACGGGTATACTGTGTGGCAGTTCGTTCTGTCCTACTTTACGACTGTGAAAAGTATTCATCAAGGGTAGAAGATACTCGTAAGTTACTAGTATTTAATCACAGACGTCTTAGAAATATTGCCAGCAACTGCCGGGATCACTGGATAATTAATAGTGAGGTTAGACGCAGAGTATTAGGGAATGATGGTAAACCAGTTGATGAGGTTGTGAATCTTTATCGACTGAGATGGTTGGGCCATGTGTTGCGTATGCCTGAACACCGATTACCACGACGGGAAATGCTGACTAGTGTTAGAGACGGATGGAAGGAAGTTAGGGGCGGCCAAACGAAAATGTAGCATTAATCCTTGAAGTCACTAACTCCTAGTCTGAGCCACGTTGACAGATCTATCTGGTTCTCCGTAGTGTGGTCCGGTGAGATCCATGTAGCTTTGTGTATACGCTTGTGTGGAAATATTGTGCCTCCTATGACCAATTTGTTGAATGCACATAGATTTGCAAATCTTTCTCCATTTTCGTTTCTCTCTCCCAGTCCATGTCGTCCCATAATATCTTCATATCCGGTGTTGTCTATTCCGACTTTGGCATTTAGATCTCCCATCAGAATAGTTAGGTCCTTCCTTGGGCATTTCTCAATGATTGACTGCAGCCGCTCGTAGAACTGATCTTTAATTTCGTCGTTGCTATCATTGGTGGGTGCATAACATTGGATAATATTTATTAAGATCCCCTCCTTCTTTGTTTTGAATGATGCTTTGATGATTCTGGATCCGTGAGATTCCCATCCTACAAGTGCATTTCGTGCTACTTTGGACAGCATTAGAGCAACTCCCTGAGTGTGCGGAGCATTTTCCTCTTCATGACCGGAGTATAGTAGCATCTCTCCCGTATTTAGCCTTTGTTGTCCAGCTTGAGTCCAATGGGTTTCGCTGATTCCCAGTACTGCCAAGTTGTATCTCCTCATTTCCGTTGCTATTTGACTGGTCTTTCCGGCCTCCCACATTGTTCAGACGTTCCATGTACCTATAAAAATTTTTGCTCTGGTTGTTAGAAAGGGCATCGGCCTCGTGGATTCCGAAGGAACTCGGCTTTCACCATGAAGCGTCATAATTCTTCTAAATGAAGACCTTCTGACTCCCAGGGCAGAGTTTAAATGGTTTGAATAATTTTTCTGGTAAGCGTTTTTTAGCGAGTTAGTTTTCTACGGGATGGGGATGCTAACCCCATGCTCAACCCTCCTCCTTTACCCGGGCTCGGGACCGGCAGTAACTCTGGAAGAGCTATCTTCGTTAATCGACCACCTTGATAACTGTTAGAACATAAATTCCCAACGGTATTTGAATTCAGAAGGTAATAAGCGGCAACTACAGTTTACTAGCGGATAGCACTCATCACAAATTTATAAGTAAATCGAGCGGATTTGGATCAAAGACGCTAAATATGTGAGCGAGCGAATACATAGGCAAATTTATAGTCAAATCGAATCAAAGCGCAGCTAGGCATGGCAAAGGCTTATCAAAACAAGGCTAAGGCCATTAATTGGAGTAGAACACATATATACGTGGGAAAGAGGATAATTTATCGAGCGATAATCAAGATATTAACTTTTAAGCCCGAGAGATATGGGTGTGGGGTTTCACATGTGATCAAACGTACACGTCTATACAAACAAGATAGTGATCAAAATAACACAAAGTAATAGACGACTTGTTACTGTCCGAATAACATTGTCTGTTAAATAGCTCAGTAAAAGGGCTTGACAAAAGTCAACCCTAATCGAAATTAGCCGAGGAGTGTTGCTATAATATATATCCCAATGAGTAGGAATTTGTATTTCTAACGTTTCATGATTCGATGCAAGTCAATTCTTCAGAGTAAATAAAAATTAGTCTAAATCTCTAGTACCACTATATTTAAAACTCATGAATGTGATATAACTGTGACATTAACATCAAACCTACGAATCTATGGAAAGATAAGCAGCTATACCTTATGTTCATAAAACAATAGGGTTATATCTTTGTGTTATTCCAAGCTTGTTATCATGTAGCCGAGCAACAGATTTTTGCATGTTTTTATGACATGTTAGCTTTCTGCCTCAAATACATTAAATCCAAAGCCTCTTCTTTGTCAATTTAACTGCTTTTTGTTCATCATGAAACACAACTGTGTATTTGCGTAAATTGTTAGTTCATGCTTTTAAGTTACTATCAAATCAGTAGCTCAAGCCAGTAACCAAACCACTCAGAAATGAATATTACTTGATCGAATCTAATCGGCAATCATGATTAAATTTGGAGCATATTCATCAATTCACTTTTAAAATAACAATCAGACAAAATAAATGCTTGTATCTGATCTGATCGTTACCTGACTCATTCATGCTATTATCATGAATCATCTCACATAACTTTTATTCTTTTTTCAATTGTCTTTAGGTCATATTTGACACATGCCTTTACGATGACTTATAGTGTATAAACTAGATTAGCCCAACAGTTCATCCGACCTTAAGTGGATTGTGTGCAGTTCTGGTGTGTCATGTTTGTATGCATGTATTAATGTTTTGATGTGTGATTAGATAAGGGTGGATTCAAACGTTTTATGCTAATCGATTGGTTTATATTGAATGCACAAATGAGGGGGTGATAAATTGATCTATGCCTAAATGATTATTTTATATTTTAAGATGACTCAACCAATAATTTCTGATTTCCTCTTGTTCACACATAAATATTTTTTTATTGTAAAACAGTGAACTTGCTCCACTGTCTATAAATGTACGTTAGTAACTGCGTCTGAGATATAAATGAATCTGCTGTTAATATCGAAGCATTTGGCGAGTACAAATATTACCGTGGTAAGTAGGCAATTTTATTTATAATAGTGTTTAAATGAAATGCTTTATTTTCACTATTCATTAGAAGAAATTGTGTAAAAAGATAAAGTCTTTTATCTATGAAATCTAAGTTTATTACAATCTAATTTCTATGTATTTTCACAATATCTAAAAATACTGACATAGTAGATAGTTACCTGAATAGTCAAATTAAATATTGAGGTTGTTAACTATATGATATTGTATCTTCGTAATAGAAGATGCTATTCACTGATTATTCCATAATCTTATTTTGTTTGATCATAACCTCTCTTGTATAACTCATCACCAACTATTAGGCGATGCCTATTCAGTTTTGGAAATAACTGAAAAAAAGAAATATTTTACCGCTGTTATTGTCTATAGATTCGTTATTAGTCATCAGATCATCTGACTTTAAATGAGTAACACATCATCATTTGAATGATTGATGGACAAATTAGTATACTTCTACCTTAATCAAACATCCTCTGGGTCGCGAAGTAGTACACTTCACTTTTCTTGAAAGTGTCGTGAACACTGGTATCTGATGAAGTCTCAACACAGATTCAAAATGTCTTCTTGACGTTTACCAGCCTGCGTTGCCTGTGGTGGCACGTGTATTATAGAACGACTGAGTGAGTAATGTTAAGGTTATATACAAAGTACTAGGCAAAGATGGTGTATCAGTTAATGAGACTAAAAATCTTTATAGACGTAAGTGTCTGGGAAATATGTCGCGTATGCTTAAGTACTGCCTATCTTGACTTGAACTGATGGCTGGAGTATGATGTGGCTCGAAAATCGATTCATATTATTTGGTACTTTTTATTCACTTAATTCACCCCTTCTATCTGAACTGTATTTCCCTACATGAATCTTTCTCATTATTATTGGTACTATTATTGTTTCAAATCTGTTGTTTTCTATCTGGTTAAGTTCATCTGATTGCCCTGACTTTTGATATAGTAAGTTGAGCTGATTCATATTTACACGAGGCTATATGTTGATTGTAATTGCCCAACTGACAGAACAGATTCAAGTTGTGATTCGTAATTTTTCGAAGACGAAGAAAGTGTTGATATACAGTTTCTTGCTTATTCCCACTGGTTTTATACAATCAGATTAACGTTTCATCTTTCAGAAATAACTTGAGTCTGTATATTGTCAACAATGAGTTAATAATATATTTGGATTGTATTATTTCACTATTTGGTTTGATTAATATTAAAATATATCTCATTTTTCGAGAGTAATATTAGGTTAAGTGTGTAAAAAAAGCTTGTTTTGTAGGTTGTATCAGTTTTAAAAATAATTCTGAACTAAGTCTTCATACATGATACGTGTTTCGCAACTAAATTCCATGATGACGTAGGGTTCTATTGTGAATGATGTCGAAATTTTGTTGAGTAAAAGACCTATTTACTGTATACTAAATTATACCACTTGTTTATTCGTTTGAACTTGAAAGATCAACATTGGAAATATAATGGTGAAAAAATATGTATTATTATTAACAAAAATGGACGGTGGTTATCAACGGAATTTGATACTCGAATCCAGTACCGTTCGTTTCTTACTCTATCGCGTCCCGGAGTGAACATCAACTCTGGGATGCAGGTTCATTCAGCTGACGAGTCCTAAATGGGATGAAACGCTGGTCTTTGATTCTCCTGCTAGCCACCATCCATCTTTGCCTATAATTCTTGTGCTTTAAGAGAATATCGAAGTAATTCGCAAAGGATGCACATATACCAATAAGAGACTGATCAATTACAGTTCTAATCATCAATAGGAAGATTCAAACAAACAATACGAAAATGTATTATTATTATTGTTATTATAACAACTGATTATTTAACAATCCATGTAAAGCACCATCTATTTATGTTGTTATTTATGCTTTTAGTGAAAAATATCCAGATAGAGATTCGTAGAACGGTTCGTACAATACTGATATACAGACTTTAATAATTTGTTAATAACAACTTAATAACTAAATTTGACATGTTAGTCTGAGACTCATTCGTTATGAACATTCTATATTCCCATTTCGGAATAGAATTCTTAAATTAAGCTATAATAATCGGATCCCAACTGAGAGAGCTATCTGTAGCTAATAAGATTTTTTTAGCTGGACGATTTTTATGCCTTTCATTACTCTACGCGTATTTGTTATCACATTTCAAGTTATAGTGCAATAACTTCATATTTAGTGAGAAAAAAATACGGTTTTAAACAAAGCTGTATACTTGTAACCTATGATATAGAGGTTTCTCTACTATCTTTCTTTGATCCGGTCACAGTTTCTCATGTGATACCTTTTTTAATTTTATTTTCAATAAATTTAATATTTCTATTTTGTATTTGTGAATTGAAAAACGAAATACTGACATTTCTGACTATAGTTGACGTGTTCGTATGTATAATTGTATGTACATGTATTTATTTATGTGTATGTAATTTTTACATAATTTTCATTTTTATTTATCTGTTTATTTGTCACGTATTTATGTGGTCTATTTTTTTTATTTCGTTCTCTTCTTTTTCTATAAACACGTTTGCTTAGCGAGCCTACATTTACTTACGAGGTTTACAAAAAGTCAAATTACTACTACTGTTTACGAGAATTACTGTCGTCGGTAATAAACTATTTTCTGAAAATCCGATTTGAATAGTCATCTGTTAACTAATTAATTTATCCTACTTTGAGTACAATACAAAGCATAACAAAGGATCTTGAACAATAAATAAATGTCAGGTAATTTTCTGCTTTTCTTTATTGTCTTTTGTCTTCGATGGTTTGTTGTGCTTATTATTTGTTGGTACCAGTGATTAAATCTTGTCCTCTTAGAAAACTACTTTCTATCATTGAGACTTGACAGTTAACTGAAAAAATATGGAATAAGTGTGTTTCATTCACGTTTTAAGTTTATCAACAACGTATGTACTTTAAAGTTGTGCTGTAAAATTCTTCGCCTAACTTTCAAGTGATCGGTCTATTATCTGAAAATTTACTTATAGGGTTAGAATATTCAAATGCACAGTACTATTTAGAAAAGACTGATAATACGCAAAGTATTTTCAGCACCTTGGATAACAACGTAGGATTGTTATGAATCGAATTCTTAGTCTGTAATTAAAAAAATATGGGTTCTGAACTGGTATGGATAATTGCTTATGTAATAGTAGGAAATGAATTGGTTGGGCATGTTGACCATTTCACTTATCTACGAAGTCTTCTTAGCGCTAGCGGATTTGTTTCTGAAAAAACCTGGACACGGATTAAGAAGGTTCACTTGACGTTTGACAAAATACTTTACCTTTGATATCTACTAGATATCAGTAGGTAACCTCTCTGTTTTAACTTTTAGCTATGAAAATGTAAGGTCACAGGCGCTTGACCATAGATATCTTCGAATCATTTCTTTTTATCAGCGGCAGGGTTACTTCTACGGGGTGGGATTGTTGGCCTTACGCCCAGTCTTTTCCTTTTGCTTGGGCTTTCGAATTTACGCGTGCTCCAGATAGAGTTAGTCAGAAATAAATGTTAGCGATCAATCGTCAGATTTCACATTCTTCAGTATTAATTATTTTAAAGAGTGGTATTAATAGATGAGAGGAACAAAAAGACATACGGGAACTGTTTTGTGCTTCACTATTCAATGTTCCCTCGCGATCCACATGTGTTTTTCATCTAGAGGTGATAACTAAAGCTCTCGTATACCATTTAGGTCATTCTTTTTTTAGTTCAATGCAATCTAAATGGTATTAATTGCAATTTTTTCCTAATTGAAACAAATTAGGTTATTTTTCCAAAAATAATGTCGATTGTTCCTTAGAGTAGAGATAATCTGAACAGTTATCTAGGCGGTAAAATGTAAGCTTAAAAGCATTTAACTACTGACAAGTTATGAAAGTAAAATAAGTCTATTCATATTACAAAGGCTGACTTTGTATTTTCTCTACTCTCTAAGAACATCAAAATAAGTTTTTCTATCAGACTATCAGATATTACGAGAGAACATACAGACGTTACATTTTCTGAGTAGTTAAATAACCGATTACACCTCCATGAGTTTATTAAGTTTTCGCAGTGCGTGTGCTTGCGTGTATATGTTCATTTTATGACGTAATAATTCCTCTTCCCTAATATCTAACATTTTGGAGTATTATATTTTCTAATGGTCGCATTTATATATATCAAACTCGTAATTCCAGTATATTGCCACTTCATCTTTGTAAAGTCATTGAAAGGACCTTGGTGGTTTTGTAGAAGTATGGAAATGCAATTTATAATAATTTTGTGAGACATAATTTACCGATTATATTACTTATATATATCAGATATTTTGATTTAAGTACAGTGAAACAGAGGAGCACTACATTGAATAATATTGTTTTTCATCAGTAAGCTCATCTGTATTCGAAAGTCTTCTCATCTGATTTCTATTTGTATGAAGAAACCCATTTTTATTTAATTAAATATCATCTATACATCAACGTGAAAGTAATTTCCTTTGTTCCTGCCTATTAATAATAATAATAATAATAATAATAATAATAATAATAATAATAATTTGGTCAGTTGATTGCCAGTCAGCAGTTTGAACATTACTCCGACAACCATTATTTTTGACCAGATCCTTCAAATATATATTTTGTATGATCCATATTCTTTTGTTGACATGTTACCATCTCCCCAGCTGATTGGTTTGGTTATAAAGCTGCCATTGTCTTTTTGAATGATAACATTCATGTTCCTACGTATTTTTGATAAACTACTCGAAACAGAGTCTAGTATTTGACTGTAATTTCTTATTCGGAAAGAAAATAAGAGTTCGTATTCCATTTAAATTTTAAAAGATTATAATACATTTATTTCATTGACTTCAGTTTAAAGTGCTGACTAATTTGTTTTCGTCAGTAAATTAGTTTACTTCATGAGAAATGTAAAAGTATAATCTTTATGAGTTACATAATGTGTAGTGTTTCTCATGTTTAACAGTATTCTCTCTGAATATTTTCTGTAACCATCCTCATCATTTAGATGCAAATGACGTTACAATTGAAATGTTGAGTTTGATACGTAGTTGTTGCTTTCATTTCAATGCTGAATGTGGTCAGTACTATATTACAGCATTAGAGACGAATACCAAGCTAGACAAAAAGAGTTATTTAGTGATTTATTTTCTATCTAATTAGATTTCTATCAGTTCAGAATAGAAAGATCAATTTTCAGTTAAACGTGTTTATTTAGATCATGAACTGATCAAGGTTAGATCACCATTGAAAACTTCTGCACGGGATCATGGATGCGCATTGCTGAGGCTTCCCATATCAGGATGAAATGGCCATCCGGTACTTCCAGGTTTTCAAAGGTGGTCTAACATTGATCGATTCATGATATCAATCAAAACTCAACAATCTTCACAACCCTATACTGATAAATATGTTTATATTTTACATTTAACAATATTTTCACGTTCTTTGTTTTATATCAAAATATTTGACAATATTTGGAATTTAATCAAAATCTCTAGTAATGTTACAGTTATTAACTAATTATGCATGTGATTTGTAATTTTTGTATTATAATTTGAAAAAGAAATACAATTACAATACAATTAATTACCATTTATTTTTGACCTGGATTCAGGTTTTAAGGTTAGTTTTTACAACAATAAAAAAATATGTTTTCGTCACAGAAGTACTAATTTATTGAAATTTGATACAACGAATGAATTTAGACAATAGACAAGTAGACAGACAAATAAATTGATAAATAAATTTTAATTTACTTCTAGGATATAGAGACCAATCATCATTCATCCATCCATCCAGTAGGGAGAAGTACTGATGAGTAAAGCAAACAAACAAATAGATAAAAATAAGTTTATTGAATGACATTGTAGGAAAAAAGACATTTCTACCTTGTTCTTTTTACACTTCACTATTTAATTGGACGAGATGATGATGACGTACTAAAATGTAACAGACCTAGTCGTTTTCATGCTTTAATTATTTAACAGGTGGATGTGTTTTTCTTCTTTATATTGAATAACTAAGACTTTTCCAAAAAGACCAATCATGAATTACAAGACTAATAATCATGTATGTATGTGTCTATTAAATTACATCCGTGTTATTTTATTATCCTTTTTGGTTAGTAAGATTTACGTTTTTCTGTGGATAATACAAATGTTATATGGTTGATTCTATAAATTTTAATAAGTTTCAGTAAGTTTTATTGTTCATGTACTTTTGTTTTTATTTTATTGATCATTTATTACGAAAGAAAATTGCTACACACATTTGTCTTGCTTTCAGGTGAAATTCTTATGTAAGCCATAGTCTATAATACATACATATATTATTTGCCTTCATTAACTATAGTTCTATGAGTTGTGATGACGTCATGTGGACTTTCGTTTTGTCACTTAGACTTACTTTATTGTCTGGTATATAGCTTGATAAAATATAATATAAATATATAGTACAGTAATAATGATAATATTGATGATGATATTCTTGTCGAACCTGTGTGAGGAATACACATAAAGAGTTATTTGAATAGTGTTTTTTTTCTGAATTAAATAGAAATTATTTGAAATTTTCGAGTTTTTTTTCTTATTGTAACACATGTGTAAAACATGTATGAGTGACTGTTATTATTGCGTAATTGAAATGTATGTGTATTTTTATTGTTGTTGAAAACTCATCGAAAATCCTGCTTTTTTTCTGACATTTAACATGGGAAATTTTTTCTCAACATTTTATTCACTGATTTTAGTTATATAACTGTTTTGAAAACTAAGAAGTAATTAATTGTATCATTAAGATCAATTCATACTGTATAATAAGAGTAAATTTTGCAAAGTCTTTCTAGTTCATCTAGATAGAAATTTCAATCCATTTGTAACATTGTGGTAAAACGTTTCCTATTTGCCTTCTACGTATAATGAGTTTACAAACCCTCAAGTGAATTATGTTACTTACTTACGCCTGTTACTCCTCGTGAAGGAGCATAGGCCGCTCACCAGCATTCTCCATCCAACCCTGTCCTGGGCAATCCTTTCTAGCTCCGTCCAGTTGTAATTCATCGCTTTCATATCTGCTTCTATTATCCGACGCAATGTGTTCTTTGGCCTTCCTCTTTCTCGCTTCCCTTCAGGATTCCAAGTTAGGGCTTGTCTCGTGATGCAGTTTGACGATTTGCGTAATGTATGTCCTATCCATTTCCATCATCTTTTCCTAATTTCTTCAGCTGGAAGTTGGTTTGTTCTCTCCCACAGAAGGCTATTGCTGATGGTATCCGGCCAATGGATGTTGAGTATCTTGCGTAGACAGCTATTTATAAATACTTGTACTTTCTTGATTGTGGTTGTTGTAGTTCTTCAAGTTTCAGCTCCATACAGTAGAACTGCCTTGACGTTCGAATTATGTTAGATAGTTGAAAATTCTTCAATAAATTATGTATGAAGATTGATTAGTTTATAAATTACGATTTTATCATACTAAGCTTTTGTATTAAAGATTACCAACTGATGAATAAACTGTTCCTTTTTTTAGAAGTAAAAATAACTATTCGAATGTGTCCAGCATTTTCTTATTGATAATTATCACCATAGCTAAGATTATTTGTTTTATTTTTCACATTTCAATAAATCTAAATTAATTGTACGTTGACTGACAAATATGATGGTAGTATTTTTTTAGCATCTTCAATGAATTGTTTATATTATTGAAATACAAGGGATTTTTGAATTATGGCTTGTAATAGCATCCAGGAAGTTCACATAGTTCTATTTAGGACTCATCATTCGGGGGTGTACTTGTATCATTCCTAATATTGATTCTCACATTGAAGCTCGAACCCTGTCGCTTCAAAAGCCAGGGTATTTGAGTTCAGTTAGTAAATAGCGTGTTCGATAGATGTGATGCTCATTCGTAAATATTTGGTATTATATTGTTATTGATATTGTAATCTGAATTCTGGTCAATCTTTGTTAGCGTATGTTAAATCTCTGCTAGCTTTCACCTGGTATCCGTTTTGCTAGTTTTGATATATATATAGTAGCAAAGATTATTATTATTAATGAGATATTAAGATATAGCCATTGGATTATAGGGTGAATTTCGAATTTTCCATGTGTATTATTCGTGAATGTCGACTAAGGGCCACTATCTGATAGCAATACCTTTGATAAATCATAACAAATAAAAATCGACTGTTTTCAATTTATTCGAAGCAGATATCTTTGAAGTAGATCCGTATACAATTGTAGTATTACTTAGATTAGTATTTTTAAATCAACTGTATTGAATCAGTTGATTAATTCATCTAATTTAGTTATTTTCAATTATTTCATCGATTACAATTTACATGTTATAACATTTAATTCTTAACTTATATATAGTGTGAATCGAATAGATTTCTGTTATTGTTCTGATCGTTAATTTCTTGAAAATGAGGAGGGAAGGCAGGTCTTTAATTATTTGTCTGTTTCTTTTCAATCATCTGTTAATAACGCTAGTAAACAATAAGAACAAAGTGTGATTCAAACAAATTTTTTAAAAATCCAGTTAATAGTATAGGGTTTTGTGGAGACTATAGAATATTCATAGTTTTTAATTTCTGAACTGATCTTATTTAGATTATCGTTGAACTTGTGAAAACACTGAACGAATGTTTGGTCCTAGTCTGAGACTCCTCAATAGTACGAATCCGGGAATCAAATCCAGGACCTTCGATCTTGCTCGCGAACACTTAGCCTTTAGATTACTTAGGTGGCATCCAGAGTTTCACGACTTTTAATAATTGTTTCACTGAGATCAATTTTCGATTTAAAATCTATGAAAATTTTACAATATCCACAAAACTATACTGAAAATAGTCATATACTCACTAGTGACTAACATCAGGATGTAGTTCCTGGAGTTGTATTGGGAAGCCATGATCAGTGGAGTGCAACCATGTCGAGTGTTTTCTCTGTAATACTATGAAACGAAAGTAGAATACGCTAAAAAATTAAGTATACATGTATACGTGTGGAGTCTGAATTGTGTTGAGTCGTGAGTGAAATCATATTGTTAGTATTTATTTAATCCTTCAATATTATCAGTAAATGATATTAGAATTTAAGGTGTTCACAACTGCCGACCTTTAAAACTGGTAATGGCAATAATAGTGATAATTTACTAATACGTTGCTATGAGCTTAATGATGACGAAATTATTTCTAAACTTATGACATATTTTTTAATAAACGCTGAACTAATCTTTCTTTCTTATGACATATTTAACCAATCAAAATTGTTATTCTGGCTTCGTTGTATATATATATATATATATATATATATATATATATATATATATATATATATATATATAATATGAATTATAAAATTAACAATATTTTAAAATATGATCATCTTATACTCATTTACCTTTTACAATGTTGATTTCAAAAGGAAATTTCGACCGAAATCAAAGAAGTCGACCAAGGTTTTTCGGAATCCAAGATTATGATGATAATGATGTTTTCCAATCGAATGATAATAACGGGAATGGCGGCAGATTTACGAATACCTCTACAACGACAAGTGGTTACAGTAGTTGTTTTACGAGTAATACTACTAATGATAATGATAGTCAAACAATATTTCAATTTGATGAAATGTTTGAACAAAGCACCTGTCAAGATGTTGATCAATGTTGGGGTAGTAATTTATCTGACAGTCCTCCATTAGGCCGTCCACGAAGAGCAAATCCCAAGCCGTTAACAGGTCGATATGAAGTGGAATTCCCAGGTATATTCGTTGAAGGATTTCGTGGGGGTCATGTGAAATTTAATATACCTGGAGTATTACAGGGTTCTCTGAAACCTACCGACTCAATGATAGTGAAAATCAACGTACCAAGTCCTGAACAATTCCATCTATCTGAAGTGTATGGTCAGTCTTCATTTGGGAATTCTACACAAACAGAAGGAGTTTCTCAGAATAGAGAAACTTCTACTGTAAGTACAAGTCGTTTTGCTACTTCGTGTTTCGAACAAAATACACATCAGACAATGTCGGATCATTGTAGCACTACAATGCCTTATACTTCAGATATACTTTCAAACCTCCGTTCTAATCATCCAAATCCTAGTGATTCATATCAGTTAAATTCTACGGATACTAATAAATCTGATGCCCATCTATTACGTTGTGGTACTACTACTGAATGTTCCACCATTTCATCAAATCTTTGTTCTTCCAGTCGTTTCCCTAGTGTTTATGAAAGAATCTCTACAGATTCCGGTCTACCATCAAATTATTTAATTCGTCCAGTAATCTCTGGTCATAGAAAAATCGTCGAAGAAGATAATAATGACAGAGGTGGTTTTGATATTGGTGGCGGAGAGCGAAATCCATTTAACTTTAGTAATGAAAATAATCAGTTATCTCGTTTCGGACAATTCGGTACTTAATGAAAGATTATTGTTATTATTATTACCATTATTATTATTGTTACTTTTTGTCCAATAAAAATTTATCTTGTAAACAATGCATTTTTTCCAAGTGTTATTTTTTCTATTTTGTATACTTATTGTACTGTTTATGACTATTATTATTATTATTACTATTATTAATATTGTCACCCTTCCTTACCCCGTTGATTATTGGTACCAAACCATTAGAATTTTCAGTCATTACACACTACTCTCATCACTGTGAGTGAATTCAACTTAGTCTTATTTTGTATTTGGAGTTAGAATTCTTTTTATTTGAAAAACTCCAGCTCATCAAGGAACTAGTTAATTTTTCTATACTCAGGTATATGTAGCTTACACTATATAGATATATATTTATTGGTTTCTATTTTGTGATTATAAATGTATATATATTTTTCTATCTCTCTTCCTCTCATTTGTGATGGTGTTTAGGAGAGAAAAGAAAACCGTATTTCGATCTCATTGTAAACTGTGCCTTTGTTGAAATTTTACTTGTTTTCTTTTTACCTTATGTCATTCACTTATTCGTATCGTATCCCGATATATGCAGTAATAATAAAGGTCATATATTTGTATACTACACCTCTCCATTATCCAGTGTCTCGATAAACTAGAAAAGTTTAAAAGTTTTTGTACTGCCTTATTATTATCCTCGTTTCTTTGTCACTGCTGCTTTTTTTATCCTGACAAAACAGAAGATGTGACGATGTATTTCTTCTGACTGGCAACACTGTTATTATTATTTCTATACGCTATTTTTCTGATTTTCGTGTTTATGTGTATAACTAACTGCTTAAGTACAAAAAACATAGTTTTGACAACATGGAAAATATTGTTTATAAAATTTACCCATATTACTAGTATATTATTCTTCATTTTTCATAACCTAATTACATTCCATTATCATTATTCGTATTATTACAACTATTACGACTATTATTATGAATTCTTGTTTGGCGGTGTTACAAATTGTTCGAAGTGGGAAACAATAAAATTTGAAAAACAAAAAATGTTACTTACTTTAAAAGAACTTTTTTCCAAATTTGGGAAGTATGAATTCATTAGGATTTCGTTTACAATTTGAGTATATTGTTTAAGTGGTAGTTAGCTTTGATAACATATTTCCAATACTTTAATGGTTATGGGATAAATGACTTGGGATGCAATCTTACAACGAGAGGGATTACTTTTCGGATTGAAGATATGCATAGCTATTAGGCTTCAAAAATTGTGAAGCACTAAAAGTCAAACATTTGCATCCTAAGTTTATTTATCTTAGAGAGCATAACCTTTTTATTTAGCGATCAGAGTGGGATCTTGGCCATCTCTTGGTAATTAAGTACTGTACTCTAAGAGAGACTGTTCATTAAGTTTGGTCATTGATTGTGATTGCTTTTTAAGAGCATAACAACGTGAATAACCTAAAAGTAGATGGGACGGTGTAACATCACTTGAACTTATTATGTTTCCGATTAATTGATAATTTATCTTTATAAGATGATTATAGAGTGAATTTTCATGGTTATCGATAAATTTTATGTTCGAAAACCGTGAAATATTGCAAGTAGAAACTTTCAGTTTGCTAACATTTTCATTCAGGCATGTAATTCATATAACACCGCACTTTAGTAAGACCACGAACAGATGATTGTAAAAATGTTTGATATACAAGATTTTTATTTGTAGCTTAGTGTGATGAGACATTGTTTTAATCATTTCATTTTTCAGTGTAATTCCGATCACTTCACTAAGCACAAATGAAACAGCAGTAAGTATAAATTGAGTTAACTGAACATTTGGGATTTGTTTCTGACAAATTCATATTCTCCTATTATTCATTATGTATAGCGGTAACAGTTTATATTATGTCTAAAAGATGCAAATACAGGTGACAATGACATTGATTCAAGCAACCTCTAAATCAAGAAAAAGTCGATCAGTTTAACAGTTCAGATCAACAACATGTACATAAAACAATGTAGCATTCAGAGTAAATAAAAAAACATTCACATAAGTTCTACAATAAATTAACATTGTAACTGCAGGTTATTGAAATAGGTACTATTGTGATGTTTGCTACTGATGTCGACATATGTGAGTAGTATAGATCACCAATCGGAAGTGCAATGCTTGGTGGCAGAAGGTTGGGAAAATCGATAAAAAGAGAACGAGAACTGAGTGATTCGTACGGAAACAAAGAAACAACTGTTAGCGGAACATAGACTGGATTAAAGCAAGCTCAATGCACGATTGCTTTGGTGCACGCTGATTGGCTAATTCTTATCCAATCAGCACTAGTCGATAGTTGGAGAATACTCTAGAATCTTCTCATGTAGAAACTATAAATACACTGACGTTTTCCCTATTACTCTTCTTACTGGCTTCTTGCTTCCATCTAACCTTGTCATTTGGAATATAATCTCTTTCCTGTTCAACCATGTTCTGATTTGGAGACTTGTCGAGTGAATCGGTGTCCGAGAATACTAAGTAATAGAAATAGCTGGGGTCATAACCGTAAGAAAGAGATTATAACAACAACGAAGTCTGAGACAAATGATGGAGATTTTATCGAGACATTCTGTAATGTTTCTTGTCCCCACCTGTGTTCTCGTTCGCTGCACTATGTGTTTTAAATTGATGCTCAATGTACATTCTAACAGTAATAAATGTTGAGTTTAAGCAAAAAGAAATTAGACGGAGACGTTTAGATGGTATTCAGTAGCAACTGTTTCATAGAGTCAGGTAGTCCATATTAACGATAGAGTGGTGTGACCAGTTCAATATTCATCGGTATAGGTAGAACTAGAGTGAGCCTGATCTCCACCTAACCGCTTAAGTTCATGAAACATAGTTTCACTATATTTAGGTACCACATGTATGTGTGAGATGAACTCAACCCAGGTAAAGTCATCCAAGTTGTATTATAATTCAGAACTATAATTCTACTAAAAGTTGTTTTTTAATTCTCATTCTACATATCACAGTTTTCCATTAAAGCTATCTATTGTTGTTAGGATGTGCTAGGTAATAAAGTTCGAAACTCTTATGGATCGATTAACTGCAAGGAGTATTGAGGCACTATAAAAGGAGAGATCAATACTTAATTCCTGTTTATTAGTAATGTATTTTTCTGATGAAGAACTATCTTGATGTTAAATTCATCAACATGAACAGAAAAAATCTAGATGAAAATCCTACAGATGACTAATAGAGAATCAAAAGCTGTCGTATAAATTACACTGTACGATTGAAATTTTATCTAACCTGTAAAATAAAACACTTGACTTTATAGAGGAGTAGGAAGAAGTAGCTTACTATTATTATCAATGTGTAGGATAATTATATACACATACTTTGGTCCAATTTGTTTGCTCATTAGATTGTCGATCGATATTTCTTTATTTTCAAAATTGTTCTATAGTTGTGAAACATGTTCTTAGAAAGTAGAGATGAGTAGATTGTTATTATTTTACCGTATATATCTTTGAAACACTACGCTGAAAATGAAGAGACCTCTCAGGGATCAATTATGAGATAAGGAGTTAACTGCATCTTTTGTTTTGTCTGATCAGCCATCAACTATTCTAACATACAGGAACCAGTCGAACAAGCTAACTTTTTAATGATTTATAGGACCTCAAGATTAAAATGAAATGGCTAGTTTTCGATTTCAATTCAATCAGTTAACAAATACTTCCTTAATAAAAAGTATATGAAGAAAAGCACATGTTTGGAGGTAGTTGGCAGGAAAGCGTACACTGAACCATGTAACATGCTAAGTCACTTAAATTAGTGGTTACATTTTAACTTGATTGGTAAGATTCGATCAGTAGTAAAGGAACAGACAAATATAAAATTAAGCACTGCTTAATCAAAGACAGTGATTACCGTCTACATGAGTTTCTTCCATCTTTGATGTCAGTACATATTTGTCTGATAGTCTGCATTACTTATCGATAGTATTTTACTGTTGAGGAGTAGGGTAAAATTGCTTGGTAATAAACAATATATTTTTATTTACGTACATTAGTACTTACTATTTGGTCTACGTAACCCAATAATTTATTTTATAATTAAATATACAAGATGTATTCTATGCAATGTGTTTTTAAAACAAAAATTTGTAACCAAAAACGGAAACTGAAGTATAAATTAAAGTACCACAGTGTTTAAAGTAGATTTAATTTCTCTTAGCAACAAAAATACGGTTCCTTTTTGATCTGATAATCGATTGTTTTAGATGTCTATGGAAGTTAAATTGCTGTGTTTCAAGAAATAAAAAACTGGTTGCATTTTAAATGAGAAAATGTAATGCAAGTTCATTAAAATAAATGATTTGTCAATTCATAAGCGGTTTTTGATGGGTGATTTGTTGTTATTCCATTTAAATGTATAATTATCTATTTAAAGTAACTTCTGCGACATCGTAAAATGACTGAATTTGAATGTTTAGACATTCAAATTTCCACTCGTTAAATAAACTCACCACTTAGACTAAAGGATTCTAGGTTCATGCCTGTGTAGTGACTCACGTTTATCACGAGAACACGACTGGTTTAATAAAAACAATTATTATTATAACCAACTGTACCAGTGTTTGTTTTAACGTGCTTTTGTTTGACTGTGCTAATGACAGCTATTTTGTGCTTCCATTCTTATACTTACACTTCGATTGTAACTTCGCGCGAATTCGGTTACGTTCTGTAACCAAGCTTGTACCCTGGCACGATCTCGGTATCCTTTCGATGCCACGAGATCGCCAGCTAATAAACCTCGACTTGGTCCATTAACTGTCTTCTGATATTTGGCTTCTCGGGGATTTTATGGAGTCATTTGGAACGAGCTTCTTACGCCTTCTGATCTAATTGGCACGTGTTTCTTGGTAGCGGTGTTCATAGTTAATCTCAACTCGACGCCACGCTACAATTGGTAATCCCAATTCGAATACACCTGTGTGGGGATCTAGATGTCCACTT